ACACTCTACACTTCATTATTACCCTTGTTGTCTTGCGTGGTGCGGCCCTGCCGCACTTGAAGAGATTTTCGACCGACCCCTTGGTCGCGGGCTCCGGCTCTCCCGACCCCTTGGTCGTGCGCTCCGGCTCTCCCAACCCTTTGGTCGTGGACTCCGGCTCGCCCGACCCTTTGGGTGTGAGCTCCGTCTCGCCCGACCCCTTGGGTGTGAGCTCCGTCTCGTCCGACCTCTAGGCCATGGGCTCTGTCTTGCCCGACCTCGAGGCCGCGGGCTTTGTCTTCGCCCGACCTCGTGGGTGCGGTGTCTGTTGAGGGCTAGAGGTATATATACCTTTCTCTTTCCTTCCCAATGGCAATTTACGATTTAAGTGACTGTTGGGGGCTGGGGGTATATATACCTTTTTCCTTCCTCCCCAACGGTAACATGCTCTCTTCTTCCTCACTTTAGCACGTCCAAAATAGAGCAGGAGCTCTCTCTCTCTCTCTCTCACTTCATTGTTGACCTCAAGCCCCCAAGCAAATTCATTGATTTCCCCATCAATCCTTCACGGATAAGGGTCCAAAACTCAATTAGAGAGCAGCTTCATTGATTCTCAAACTCTAAAGAGCACTTGGTTCACGTTTTAGCCTGCGGTTGTGTTTGTTACTCTTGGAGCTTGGCTCCTAGACGGCTAGAGCGTCGCCCACGGAGCTTGCCAACTTGTGTGGCAGCCCTGAGAGGTTTGTAACCACCTCTTGCAGCAAGTAAAATCACCTCTCATTTCAAGAGTTCACTCTCTTGACTTGAGAACGAGGTAGGGTTGCAAACCCCTAAGCCTTAGTGGTATACCTCAACAACATGGACTTAGACAAACTTTGGTGGTGAGCTGAACCACGGGATAAATCCTTGTGTCATCTTATGCTTGTGTTGCTACACTTGTGTTTTTGTTGTTGTGGTGATGATTTTTAGAGTTTGAGGCTGATCTACTTGTGTGTGGTATTCCCATCACTTTCAGTTGTCGATCTGTGATCTACTACCCTGCAGGAAGCTAAGAAATATACCCGATCTAAATTTTGTTGGAAAGATTTTGAACTGTGAACTAATCTCTCCTGCAGGTGAGGTAATGCCGCGCTCACACAGCGACATTGCCATGGGTGAATTTGACTTCGGTTTGAGTTAAATTTTTATAGACCTATTCACCCCCCTCTAGGCGTACCAGAGATGCTACAAATACAAATTAGACAGTTCGAATTTGGAATTATATCCTGATATCAATTTGATTTTGAAGACAACAAATATCCATTTGCTTTATCGCTTATTTTAGTAGACCAAATAGTTGTGCAAGTAGAGATTTAAAATATGAGTGTAAAAGATTTTGAAACATATTTATCAATAATATTTCCTTAATTTAATATATCAATAATAAATAAAACTTTACATAAACGTTTCACTATACATAAGTATTTAACAAAAATAAAGTGAATATCTATATAGACAATTAAGCAGATACATATATTAGATAATTCGCATAGTTGGGTGCATATACTAACTTTTGCAGTAATAATAAATAATACATCATGAAGTATAAACCGCTCACAATTAAGTGACATTTCATATCTATTTTATTAGTAGTCTCACATGTTGTATTAATTAAAATAATAGACATTTCTCCATGTTGGAATAATAGAAAACAAATTTTGTCATGTTTTTGTGTTTTGAGTGGCTTACCTTGGCCATACTCTCCTTTAGTAAGTTATCTTAATAGTTTGTACTTTGTTAAAAAAAAACCATTCCATGTTAATAGAAGCCGTGCATAGTCCTGCCGGTGGTTTTGAAAAAGAGTATCAAGTTGATTGAGACGATCCAGAAAAGAATAGAAAAGAATAAAATTTGTGTGTACTATATGCGACTATTCTCGGTTGAATTATTTTGTAAGGTGTCAAATTTCCTTATAGAGTACTTAGTAGTTTGTACATTGTACATAGCTGTTTGAAAACTTGAATGAAATTTGTGGAGTCCTAGGTCTGGACCTCCAGAGTCCGTGCCAAGAACGCCCTGAGCTTCGTCGAGGACGATGCCTACCTCCTGTTCGGCGCGGACCATCGCGCGCAATTGCGTTAGGCCAGTCTGATATTAGTTTAGAGTTTCATTTGTATTTAATATAAACTACCACATAAACATTTTTTTAGTTTTTGGGTCTGTCTACTTTACGGTCAGGTGTTTCAAGAAGTCGTGACACCCGAGTGACAAGCGGCTAAAAAATGCTCGAATTTGGTTCGGTGATGGATTCGAGTGTTTTAAGGCCACAAATCACTCGATTCTTGTAACCACGTGATCCAAATCAAATGATCCAAATTAATGCAAACAGATAGAACATATAAAATAAAAGAATATCCAATATATTTTTATGGAAGTCAAATTGAAAGATTGCAAAGGGAAATAAATAAACCATACAGACAAAAAAAAATTAAACAAACAAAAAAATAGCCAGATCATTTCTATAGAAGCCAAATTAGAAAATTCCAAAGAGAAACCAAATAAAACATATAGAAAATAAAAAAGCAAAAAAAAAAATTGATCAGATAAATATTCGAGTAATTTTAATCATTTTTATTTATGAATAATCAATTTACATCGACTAAACACATAACTTATAATAAAGTAGAAATAGTAAAATATGGTCCAATAAAATATAATCTATCCCTGTTAAAGGAATGAATCTACGTGCATACGTACGTCCGTTCTAGGGCCTAGAGGCTGCTGTTCTACTCTCTCCGTTTTAAAATTGAAGTTATTCTCGCTTTTCAAAAAGTTAGCTTTTTTTAACTTTGACTAATTATATATAAAAGAATATTAATATTTATAATATATAATTAGTATCATTAAATAGATCATTGAATAAATTATTATAATAAATTTATTTGAAGATATAAATATTACACATATTTTCTACAAATCTAATTAAAGTTAAAAAAATTTAACCTGCGCGTATCCATACGATCATCTATTGAGACAGAGGAAGTACGCAACGGGCACAGAGGTCGAGGTGGGCAGACGTGGTCGGGATGCTGTGCTACTGGGCCAGCCTAGTCTACTGGTACTAGTACTCCTACGCACGTACCAGCCGCACAGGAGCCGAGGTGGGCATGTGGCCCTGCCCAATTTTTTTGCAATTTGGTTATTTTTTAAAGAAAATTAACATTTGGCCTCTAGAGACGTAAACTCATCTTTAAACTCTGGGGTCGGTGTTAGGATTCATGGCTTCAAGGTGCCTGACCGTGCACAGCAGAGCATCCTAGTCGATGTTAACGTGGCCAGTACCTTGGAGCTACAGATCTTGGCTCCGAACTCGGAGACACAGATCTTGGCTCCGAACTCGGCGCCAAGATCTGTGGCTCTGACCTTGGAGTTGTGGATCTCGGCTCCGAGCTTAGAGCCATGTATCCTAGCGCCGAGCATGGATTCAAAACCCACGGCCAAGTTTTCCTTTACCGAGGCTGCTTTCATTTCTTCCTCCTCCCTTCAGGTTCTTTCTCTCCCTAACCCGCCCAATCTCTTGAATCGACGATTTTGACATTGGATACTTGGATTTGATCCATACATCTTCACGAGCAAGGTACCCTCTCTCCCCTTATCATTGTTTACGCATTGATTTAGTATATATTACGTCTATTTTACAACCCTAGACACGTTATTACCTAATGTTTGAAGTGATTTTTTTTATTTTTTGTATTATGTAACGGTAGAATGCCAAAGCGTGGTAAAGCTAGTAAGCCAAGGTAATCTCTTATCATCGTGATATATTATGTTTTTATTTATGTGTAACAAATGAAAAAACTCTAGGTTTAGGGTTTAATGTTCATTGCTTTAAGTTCTTAGAATAAATTTGGTTCAATTGTAGTTATGGCCAGATGACCGAAAATGCCTTCGACCCATTGCCTCTGCCTAGTAGTGTTCCAGTGCCCATGTGCTGGTGCGGTGATCCTTGCAAGGTAGCCATGTGCTGGTGCGGTGATCCACGGCTCCGAGGTCTAAGCTAGGATGCCCTGCTATGCACGGTCAGGCACCTCGGAGCTAAGATCTATGGCGTCGAGACGTGTTACCTCGGAGCCATGAGTCCTAGCGCCGACCCCCAGGGTCTAAAAATAAGTTTACGTCTTCCAGAGAACAAAACATAAATTTTCTTTAAAAAAAACCAAATTATAAAAAATTTGATGGCCCTGCCTCCTACCTCGTGCGCACTAGCCAGCTATGCCTGCAGCCTAGTACTCCCTTTCCACTGTCCACGGAGGAATGCAATTTTAACACAGTGTTATGTCTTAGTATCTTAAATTCGATTAATTGTAGATAAAAAAGTATTAATATTTAAGATAATAAATAAATATAATTAGATTAATTATGAAATGCATTTTTATAATAAATTATTTTGTAGCCATAAATATGAATAATATTTACTAAAAATTTAGTTAAACACGAACTACTTTTGGTAGCATGTAACACTCAGTTGTATTCTTTTATTGACGAAGGGAAGTACAATGGAAATCGAGACCAATAGCAGAGATATTGGAGGGCTAATAAATCGAGTGAGACGACGCCAAACACTCATACAGCGGCGGATCCAGAAAAAATTTTAGGAGGTTCAACAATACATACCTTCGACTGCTGTTTGATCTTAAATTTCAGTTCACCTACACTATAGGACTTTGCCTAAAAATTCATGAGGCTCCATGGGTTTCACTCCTTCAGTATGGGTAGTAGAGGCTCGAGGGCCCCTCCTCTGGATCCGCCCCTGACTCGAGTGACTGGCTTTTTTTTTTTTTGATGTGGTAACATTTTTAGCGGGCTATTTAAAAGTAGAATACGACAAGCACGCTCACACAGTGCTCCTCGCGGCACCAGCATGGTCTCCCGCGTCCGAGTTCTCAGCAATCAGCATCACCCATGTCCGACCACCCGCTGAAACCTCCAATCCTCTACCGGACAACGGCGACCACACCATCAAGCTCTCGCTCTTCGACACCATGTTGATCCCCCTCCAACCGATGCAGCGCCTCTTCTTCTATGAGGGTGACGACCTGCCGCCCTTCCGTGCCCTGCTCGCCACGCTGCAGTCCTCCCTCGCCGCCACGCTCGCCGTTTTCACCCCGCTCGCCGGCCACGTCGCGGTCTCCAAGTCGGGGGACGTCGTCATCGACTGCTCCCCCGAAGTCGTTTCCCAGGGTGTCAGGTTCGTCGAAGCCGAGTACGCCGGCAGCACAGACGACATGCGCCGGCTTGCAATTGCAAGCGACGCCGAGCATGACGTCGAGGCGTACGCGCAGCTCGTGCCTGCTCTCGTGGAGAGCACGCTGCCGGTCCCTGCACTGGCCGTGCAAGTGACGAGGCCCGCGGACACGGATGACAGAGGCGGGATCGGAGCCGTGGTGGTCGGCGTGTCCATGAACCATGGAATGGCCGACGGCCGGGCGCAGTGGGAGTTCATCCGGGCGTGGGCTGCCGCAGCTCTGGGCGGCTCGCCGGCCTTTATCCTGTTCGGGAGGCCGTATCGTATCGTGGATTATTTACTGTTGGCTGGTTTGGTGTGAGAGAAAAATACTGTTCCTGATTGAAAATTTACGATCGTTTACGAGCGAGCGAACAGGCTGCTTGCTGGGACCCTGCCGCCGGTTTTCGACCGCGCGGTGATCAACAGCCACCCCAAGGCAGAGGCGGTGGCGCGCAAGTTCGTGCGAATCTTTGCGCCAGCGTTGCCGACGGTGAGTTGCTTCGTTATGTCAGCAGTCAATTCAGCGTATTTAACTGTCATTTTTTATAGAATATTTTGTACTTAGTAGTTTGAAAACTTGAGTGGAATTCGTGTTGCAATTACATCATTATCTGAACAGGTGAACGCACTCCCCGGACCGGACCTGACACAACAAGGGAGAAGGACCTACCTGCTCAGCGCCAGCCAGATCCTGTCGCTGAAGCAACGCATTTCACTGCAGAGCAAACGCGCCGACGGCGACAACGCACCGGCCGCCGTAGCGAAGCCCCCGACCACCTACGCCGCCGTGGCGTCCCTGGTCTGGACATCCGGCATCCGCGCCAAGAACGCCCTGAGCCGCGCCGAGGACGATGCCTACCTGTCGTTCGCCGCGGACTGCCGCGCGCGCCTGCGCCCGCCCATGCCCGCCGCCTTCTTCGGCAACTGCGTCAAGCCGTGCTATGCGAGGGCCACGGTGGGAGAGCTCAGGGACGGCGGCGTGGGCGCGCTCGCGCGGGCCGCGTCGGCGGTGCGGGAGGCGATCCAGGAGCAGCTGGAGGACCCCACTGGGTGACGGTGATCGGTGGTTGGAGCGCCACAAGGCCCTCCCACGGGACAGGTTCGTGCAGATAGGGTCGTCCCACCGGTTCGCCGCGTACGAAACAGACTTCGGCTGGGGCAAGCCGAGCCGGGTGGAGCTCGCGTCGGCGTTTGTCCGGGAGTTCGTGGCGCTGGTCGGGGCGCCGGAAGGTGCTGTACAGGTGTCCGTGGCCCTTGATCGGGGCCGCATGGAAGACTTTGAGGCCAACTTCTTGTCACAGCTGCATGGTTCGTAATGATGTTTTTCATAAACATATATACGGGATCGCCGAACATTCTGAGTGTGTGTTCTCCTCTTATCAACATCTGAATAACTGGTTTCTCTTTTTTTCCCCCTTTCTATTCTATACCTGATTTATCTGTGGTGATTTCCTAAAATTAAGGGCACAATTGGTAATTCGGTAAAACTAAACTAGCAAGATGGCCCATGCAAGTAGCGTGGGTAGCTTTATCTGTCACATTTGTGTTTGACAAACATGATGTTATTTGTTTGATTGTAATTGTTCTTCTCCATTCGCAAGTACTATATTCATCGACATGACCTCTATGTAGTGGTAGCTATCCTCGTCCAATTCTTGTAAACTGAACCAATTTACCTTTTTTTGAGGAAACTAACCAATTTACCTTCGCACACTCAAATATAAAGGTTAGTCCATAAACGTTGTCATTAATTACCCAAACCCAAACAAGGGCTTAGACCTTTCAACTGCGGACAAAGAGATTGAGCGGATAAGGGTGGGGAGGGGAGAATGTAAGGTAAACTGGCCGATTTCTACGGAATCGGTTGAATTTGGTTGTCTGAGCATTTATGGAGATTCAAAAGTTCAGCATTGCCCTTCAACTTAGATGGCTATGGCCTATGGGTTGCTTAAACTGAACCTTAAGATCATGTATTGGTATTGGAAGTTGCAGTGATCAAGGCTGACAGAGCTTTGTTTGGGGCCACAACACGGGTAACCATTCATAATAGGTGAAAAGTCCTTTTCTGGAAATCAAGTTGGTTAAATGGACAAGCTCTGTTGGGTCTGTTCCCTTTACTCTACAAGCACAGCAGAAGGAAGAAAAGAAGAGTAGGGAACGTATCATGAGAAGCAGATGGATTCTTGACATAGCTCACTCTTTAACAGAAGAACTCCTTCAAGAGTACTTTCTGCTATGGAACTTCGTAAATAGCTCTTATTTCAACACAGAGGTTGTATCAGATGACGCGGGGGGGGGGGGTTGTTTGAATTAGGCAATTTAATTACTGTTTCTATGGCCTCTAAGGCAACCTAGTCAAAACCTATGCAAGAAGTAAAAACTATCTAGAGATAGCAACACACCCTCTAAGGCAACCTTGCTTGAGATGTTAGATCATCCGGATCACCACTTTGCTTAAGTCCAAGTCCACTTTGCATCATTTGAACTATATCCAAGAACACTAGCAAATAATATTAGTCCAAATGGTCATGTTGATCATGAAACATCAAAATCCAAACTAAATGACCTACGGGGTCTATATTCCTTGTAATGAGATTACCTGGACTGAAATCCACATGCGAATACTCCTCACGCTCGGCCTACAAAGTCCAATTCAGTAGACAACACTAGCCATCCTTCCCAAAGCTGATCTAGAAAGCAAAAGCGCCACCCTGGGTCAAATTCTTTGCCTGGGGCTTTGTTTAGATTGCAAGTTTTTTCACTCTCTCTCCATCACATCAAATCTTTGGACACATGCATGGAGTATTAAATGTAGATAAAAAAATAACTAATTACACAGTTTGATTGTAAATTACGAGACAAATCTTTTGAGCCTAGTTAGGCCATGATTAAACAATAATTATCAAATACAAACGAAAGTACTACAGTGCCAAATACTAATTCATAACCCCAATCTAAACAAAGCCTGGCTCATTATGCAAAACTGGCTATGGACAAATGATAGGTTGATTCTAAGGGAACAGGAATGACTACTTCTGCACGCTATGTAGAAGGAATCTGGAGATAGTGCTACACCTTTTTGTCGAATGGCCATTCAGTATGAAGTTTGGAAGAAAGTGAGCAAATGCCACAGTCTGAATCCTGCAAACTGGAAACATCGACACTCAAAGATGGTTCCTAGTGCCAAGCCTGTTCGCTGGTTAGATTCTGGACTGATAAGCCCAGCTAGGGCTAGTTTGTTGTGAGAGAAAAATATTATACCATAGCTGATAAGCCCTGACTAGCCGAAAATGCAATTGAGACCACTCCCTGCTCTGCTGGTAATGTGGACCATAGGAAACAACGAAACAACAGATTTTCAGTCCTGAATAAAAGATGTCAGCTCGGTTTTTGCAGAAGTCCGTGGCCAACCAAGCCTCTGTCCCCTTTCGTTGCTATATCAGTTAGTGATTAGTCAGATTTTTTTTTTCTATTCTTTCGCCTGCCTGGCGACGTGAGCATCTCTTGTGCAACTCTAACCCTCCTTATTAATGCTAGCCGGCTCTTTCGCTGGAACTAAAAAAAAATAAACTCACTAGCGCCCGGACATCCGATCCAGACACTGGTGTCCGGATGCTGCATGCACACGCTGCCTTCGGACGTCGCCCACGCCGCCCGTCCATGCCGCCAGCCGCTTTCCACGCACATCCCATGTGCAACACCCGATCTACTTTTGAAACATTCAGATGCAACAGTTGCAACATACAAAAAAAAGACAGATAAAACACTCTGAAAAACTTACGAAAATGCCTGAAAAACATTTGAAAAAGCATTGCAAAAAATATGCAACGTCTGGATGAAACAATTACAAACATATGTATGAAACACCTAAAACACATGAAACATATGCTTGCAACGTGCATGTATATGTAATATCCAGATCTACTTTTACAACATCCATATAAAAGACTTGCAACATTCATCTAGAACAGATGAAACATTTAGGACATACACTTGAGAGATACGTGTATAGACAACACAACATGTGCAACATCCTGATCTACTTTTGCAACATTGTCGGGGACCAATACTAGGGTACCCTAAGAGGAGGAGTTAATACCCGTCAACATTGATTCATCCAAGCATCATGAGCACGACTGCACCTCTTGCTGGGCACTGCCTCATCCAGCCACCAAGGCCGCGGGCTCCGCCTCGCCCTGCCCCCGAGGGTCGGTTCGACCTCGGTTGGCTCTCGAGGGTTGGCTCCGCCCCGTCCGACCCCCGAGTGCTGGCTCCGCCTCGCCCGACGTCTGAGGGTTGTTTTCGCCTCGCCCGACGTCTAAGGGCTGGCTCCGCCTCGCCCGACGTCTGAGGACTGGCTCCGTCTCGCCCGACGTCTGAGGGCTGGCGCCGCCTCGCTCGACGTCTGAGGGCTGTTTCCGCCTCGCCGGACATCTGAGGGCTGGCTCCGCCTCGCTCGACGTCTGCGCACGACTCCTTTACAACAACGCACGGAGCAGATAAACCCAATACCGAGGACCGTACCCTGCATCCCTATAAGACAGTCCCATCAGGCCATGCCAGAAGGGTGCTTTGCGACCTTCCAAGCATGTTAGAGCCCAAACAGTGTTGTAGGCGCCAATATTTGCCCTACAGTGTTGTGGGCGCCGTCATTTGCCCTTGGGCACGGAAGCTAACGACAACCGCTACGGTCCAGAAGGAAGCACGCATTACCCACAGTGATGGACGTGTAGTCTCTGTGCTGCCTGCTCCCCGTGTGGCCGCTGATCAACACCCTGGTCCGCCGCGCCGCCCGCCGGGGCGGGATGGGATGTGACAACCGACTGACAATGCTAGGACATGACATTGTCAGCGGACAGACGCCCAGCGTAGCCCTGTTAGGACCAGCGACCATGCACCTGGCATGAGGCTATCCCTACCACGGCCTGCAATGTCAGTGGGGCCCACACAGAGGAAAATGAAGACCCATCATCCTTGAAAGACTTCCTTTGCCTCTCGCTTTACCTTTTTTTTTCTCTCACATCTGTAATCCATGCTCTCCCTTGGCCTATAAAAGGGAAAGCAGGGCACCCCACTAAGGAGATCGATTGACCGCATCGCACATCACACTACATCACAATAGAACCACGAACACATAGCTGAGCAGCAACCGAGCCCTCAACCCCCATTCGACCTTTCCATCAAAGATTTGGGACCTGTCCCTCTCTTGCCCGTTTGTAACCCCTACTACGAACATTTCATTGCAAATAATATGAGCAGCAGCCATGAACTGGATGTAGGGACATTCTGCCCGAATCAATATAAACCTTGTGTCTTTTTAGCACACCATCCGGGCCAGACACGCAATAACACAAATTTACTCATTGGTGTTTAATTGAAACACCGACAGTTGGTGCGCCAGGTAGGTGAGTTTGCGCGTCCCGATATTAACATCAAGCCATAGATGGCTAGCCACGATGGAGGGGGAGCTGGCGTGGGCGCCTGTTGTCGTTCAAACCCTTCACTCCACCGGCCTCGATGTGATCACCGAGATGCTCGAGGAGCTATGGGTTACCGTGGGAGAACCGTTCTCCCCAGAATACCTCGTCTGGAGCGCCCCGATAGTCCTCCCGTTCGGTCTTCGCAACGCCATGGAGACCGTTAGCCACCTTATGGCGCAACGCATGATTCCGCCTCCCACGAACGACGAATTTGTGGGGGTGATTGAACACGTCACGGATTCCTTCCATGACCTCCTTGCAGAGGAGCTAGAGTCGCCCTCTGGCTCCGACCCAAGCAGGGGAAGCCATCACCCCTCTCGTAAATGCTTCATGATAGGTACCCCCGAGGGACACATCGAAAGCATCCACGGGGAGGAGGCTACCTCGGCGAATGACCTAGACGACAAGGCCCAGGGGGAGACAGCGGCCCCACCTAGCATGTGGGTGGAATAGCTGAAAGCCCGACACCGAGAGATTGAGGAAGCGTGACTCCAGCTCGAGCAGGAGTACGTGGAGATCGATCGGGAGATCGAGCACCACGGAGACGGTGGACGCGCACGTGCCATGGCCCGTGACGTGAACCGAAGGATCATCGTGGACGATGAAGCCCTCCCTTGCTTTGCCCGGGCAAGCCAGAACATCGCCACTGCGGAGGCCATGACACCCAAGGATCACCGGACCTACCACGAGATTCGCACGTTGCTCGAGCGTGCAACGACATAGCAGGGCGAGAGCTCGTTGTCTCAGCGATGCGAGCTCGACGCTAACCAACGCACACTCTCCAAGTGCCCCGACAGGGACACGTCGATCCACTAGGCGCCACAAGGCGGCAGGTA